AAACTGGATGGGGACTTAGTTCTCATAGACTAAAGCACGACATGCTGTACAATAGCCTGTAAATATCTCTGTATATATTCACCTTTATAACCATATAAGCTCTCTGTGCACCTTCATAACTGGTCAGTCTCCCGCTTCTTATTTACAACACCCAATAGCTTCCACATCTGTACATCATATGAAACCATTTTAAGACACTGTGGATAATAAACCATACATTTACACCCTTGTTTGACATACCCTAACTAACGGAACAGACTGGCTCGCATTCAGATGACCACACTAATTATAACCAGTTTCACAAAAGCATGGTTTCACATGATATCTGAACAGAGTCAACACCGATGAACTGAGCTTTTTGAGCCACACAAGAATAGCAACTTGATATTTATGTATTTTGTGTCACTTAAGGACTGAGCAAGCCCTTATAATCCTCCTTCCTATGTGATGAGCAAAAGTCCAGGTGTCTCAGCCCTGGCCAGTATGCACTCGCGCAGGACAGGAAGCCAGCTGCCTGACACCCACTGCTGCCCTCAAAGGAAGCGCTGCTTCCCAAAGTGGTCCCATGCTGATGCTAGCTAAGAAATCCTTTCTGACACCTTTGCCCAGCCTCAGAAGCTCTGGCAACCAGCCCAGACACAGCGTTCATCTTTGTGTCATTGTGAATTGATTAAACGAGGGGAAAATAAACATGAACTGTATGGAACACAGGCTCTCCTGGCTGTGAAGATCAGTTTTGGGTCAGGAATGCAAAGGACAGGAGTTACATAATCAATTCTGCATTAGATAGGTTGTACACACACACACACAGGGAACTGCAGTGGCTGAAGTGGTTAAGACGCTGAACTGCAGGCTGTGGAAGGTCGGTAGTTCAGCAGTTTGAGACCCGAGTGTGCCGCATGACGGAGTGAGCTCCCGTCTCTAGTTCCAGCTCCTGCCAACCTAGCAGTTCGAAAGCAAGAAATTGCAAGTAGATAAATAGGTACCACTTCGGTGGGAAGGTAACAGCGTTCCGTGCGCCTTGGCGTTTAGTCATGCCGGCCACATGACCACGGAAACGTCTTCGGACAGCGCTGGCTCTTCGGCTTTGAAACGGAGATGAGCACCGCAACCCTAGAGTCGGACTCGACTGGCTTTCGAGCAAGGGAACCTTTACCTTTACCTGTACACACACACACACATACGCACACACAGTTGCTTCGAGTCAAAACAGCACATCGGAACTGTAAACCTGGAGCCATTCCACCCTGAATAGCCCAGGCTAGTCCAATGTTGTCAGATCTTGGAAGCTAAGCAGGGTTGGTCCTGGTTAGTACTTGGATGGGAGACCACCAAGGAAGTCCAGGGTTGCTACGCAGAGGCAGGAAATGGGGGGGAAACCCTTTGTTTGTCTCTTGCCTTAAAAACCCTATAGGGTTGCCATAAGTCAGCTGCGACTAGAGGACACACACACACAAAAAACCCAACCCAAAATAACCCATGGGGCTACTTTTTAGTAAAGCTGTTTTGGTAAAGAAGGCGCTAGTTAGACGCTTAGTGTTCCTATTTCATCATGCCTGGAAAGTGCAGGCAAACTCTGAGACTTTACCACCAGTGGTAGGTGATTCCCAGGTCTTTGTTTCTAAAACAAACAGCTGCTATGTACCCTGGACAGCAATGTTCCTTCTAAGCTGTGGAGTCTTGTGAGCAAAAATTCTACCTTGTGAGCTACTGGCATTAAAGTTGTGAGCAAGTGATTGGGCTACTGCATACATTAGTCTGCTCTGGAGCCGTCCCTTCCTGAGCTAAGACAGAAATGTGTGAGCTGGAGGCTAAAAAACTGTGAGCTAGCTCACACTAACTCAGCTTAGAGGGAACACTGCTGGACAGTCCCTTTTTGTTGTGGGGTGCACCCTCCATGGAAAAGGGTGGCCCATATTCCCATTTTTGCCTTTAGGAGTGTTGTGTTAAATTCACATTAGTGTGAGTTACTAGCACTGTCATTCTCCAGGGGACACTGCAGACCTCTCGTAGTCATAATTTTAAGGACCCTACAGATGTTGGGGTCTTCCATCATGCCCTACCCCCCCTTTTTTCTCCTGCCCACCCTGCTTTGTACTTAATGACCAGTCTGATAAAGAGTTCCAGGGAGCTTACAGTTTGTAATACTTTAGTCGGCGTGTCCTACTATTACTGAGAGCCAGCTTGGTGTAATGGTTAGGAGCATGGACTCTAATCTGGGAGAACAGGGTTTGATTCCCCACTCCTCCTCCAGATGTGGCTGCTGGTGTGACCTTGGGTCAGTCACAAGTTATCTCAAAGCTGTTCTCTCAAGGGCAGTTCTCCAGAGAGCTCTCTCAGCCCCACCTACCTCACAGGGTGTCTGTTGTGGGGAAGGGAAGGGAAAGGAAATTGTAAGCTGCCAGCATGCCTCCCCCTTTTTTCCTCCTGCCACCCTGCTTTGTACTTAATGTCCAGTCTGATAAAGAGTTCCAGGGAGCTTACAGTTTGTAATACTTTAGTCGGCGTGTCCTACTATTACTGAGAGCCATCTTGGTGTAATGGTTAGGAGCATGGACTCTAATCTGGGAGAACCGGGTTTGATTCCCCACTCCTCCACTTGCACCTGGCTGGATGACCTTGGGCAAGCCATAGTTCTGATAAGAGCTGTCCTTGAAAAAGAGCAGTTTCTGACAAGAGCTCTCTCAGCCCCACCTACCTCACAGGGTGTCTGTTGTGGGGAGGGGAAGGGAAAGGAGTTTGTAAGCCGCTCTGAGACACCTTTGGGTAGTGAAGGGCGGGGTATAAATCCAATCTCTTCTTCTTCTTTTACCTCACAGGGTGTCTGTTGTGGGGAGGGGAAGGGAAAGGGAAAGGGATTGTAAGCCACTCTGAGACTTTTTTGGGTAGTGAAGGGCGGGGTATAAATCCAATCTCCTCTTCTTCGTCTTTTACCTCACAGGGTGTCTGTTGTGGGGAGGGGAAGGGAACGGAGTTTGTAAGCTGCTCTGAGACACCTTTGGGTAGTGAAGGGCGGGGTATAAATCCAATCTCTTCTTCTACTACTATGATTTTTAGATTCTCCTCCCCCAGACCAGCTACCTACCTACAATTTTATCATTCTCCAGGCTCTCTGGAAGAGAAATCTACAAGTGGGGGAAGGGATGCATGCATCATGGCTCCAAAGGCCTTTCCCCGTATGTTCCCCAGAGAGCACTGCGATCAGGATCCCAAAACCGCCTGGCCCTCCCTGGCCCTAAGGAAGTCAGGTTGATGGTAACCAGGACGAGGGCTTTTTCGTTTGTAGCTCCGTCCTACTGGAACGAGCTCCCTGCCAAGATCAGGACCCTGTGGGACTTGTCACAGTTCCGCAGGGCTGTGAAAACAGAACATTTTATTCAGGCGTTCCGATAGGAGCGACGTTTTACCAGCAGCGCCCTGTTGCGAACTCCGATTCTATACGATCTAATGCAGCGGTACCACCGATTGTGTCCCTAAATTGCACTTTAGTTTTATCGCCATCTAATGAATGTTTTCTATTGACTGGTTGTGTTTTAAATGATGTTTTATATCTTATTGTGGATGTATACTGCTTGTCAGTTCTTGGAAGCCGCCCTGAGCCTGCCTGGCAGGGAGGGCGGGGTAAAAGTGAAATAAATAAATAAATAAATAAAATGCATGTGTGTGAAAACAGGGGCACTGTGAAATGCTCAGCCTGCGTACTGCGGCTGCTGAGTGTACTGGGCCCGAACCCACCAAACACTCACCTGAGCCCACTGATTATGGAGGGCTGGGGATACCTCTGACCCGCACAGAAGAAACCAGACCCTGACTGCTGGCACCTTGAGGCACAACACTAACTCCTTCAGTTGGTTCCGGATGCAGCAGCGTGGCCCAATAGGGCTGCCAAGTGGGGGCAGGGGCGGGTAACCCCCCGCTTTGGAGGCCCAATTTCCGCCGCCGCAGAATTGGGCCCCGGGGGGAACTCTGCCCCCCGAAGCACAGCGTGGCTGCATCACCAGAGGTGACGCAACCATGTCGATCACATTTGGGGGCGTGGTCCCGATCGTCAGAGGGAAAACTCTATGGTTTTCCCTCCAACGATCGGGGCCACGCCCTCAACGTGATCGACATCGTGCATCACTTCTGGTGATGTGCTGGTGGCGCGTGCGTGCGCGTGCAAAGCACACGCGTGCGCACATCGCCAAAGAGCTCCCAGAGAACGGCGAGGCTCCCCCGCCGGTAAGAGAAAATGACTTGGCAACCCTATGGTCCAATGAGGGTGGAGGCTGGTGCCATGACAACATAAACCAGGAGGGGAGATGTGTTCCTGAGAGTCTGGAATGTCTGGAAGTGGGTGGAGCTTTCAGGAGCTGCAAGGAGGTCTTTAAAACTTGCCATCTCCAGGCCAAGGCAGATGCCTTCATCTACTCTGATGACACAGAAAGTGGAGGAGTGAGACCAGGAGGGAGAAACTGGGCCTGACAACCCCTTGCCTTCCATGCAGAGGCCCTGCATCTCTCTGACCAAAAGGGCGGACCTTCGTTTGCTTTTTACATCAGTGCAGGGCACACTAACATAACACAGCGTATAGGAGGTAGAGCTGGGACTTTAGGAGTGCTTAGCTGTCGGACGTACACTTGGCCACACATACTCAACAGTTATCACTTGCCTGACCACAGGGGAGTGGCAAACGTGTTCTGAGAAATGTTGGAGGGTCTGTAATAAGCTTCTTTATGGCAAAAGGGAGTCAAAATAAATTTTAAAAATGTACCGTGCTTTAGTTCCTCCCTTACAAATTAGCCATCTTATTTTGATAACTCAGCTTTAGAGTCCTGCACTATGCAATCACATCCTGAAAACCACACATTAACAAGATGGGAAGGGGGGGGGACCCCAGTACCATGATATGCCCCTTAGATAATTAAAAAAACCCACAACAATTACTAGAATAGAAATTGTCTTAATTAAAAACAAAACAAAAGGACACAATAACTGCCCACAGAGAGAAAGAAATGTACCTTTCCTTTCCGTTTTATCGGAAACTTTTCCTCCAATGGGCGAGTAAGTCGTATCCATGGTCTCTGTGCCTTTGTTTCCTTTACTGACTCCGTTTTCATACAGCTGCCCTTCCACAGGCTGGAGTTGCCAAGTTAGGCCAAACAAATGTACTGCTATTAAAAAAAGAAAAGAAGAAGAAGAAGAAGAAGGGGGAGGGGGGAGAACACCAATTAATTTATGCCCACATTGTGGCACCTTTATTACACAAAGAAAGAAGGCAGCCAGGCCAGCTTTTGCAAAAGTCAATTATTATATGCCTGTGTTTGGAATAAATTGGAATTCTAAGTATGCTAATTTCACCTTAAACTAAATGTTTAATTAGTTTCCACACGTTCTTCTGGAGATGAGCCAATACTGGATGATGAATTTCTTCAGCAATTAACAGAATCACTCGCTATTCCAAAGACAATGGCTTTGTAAGTGAAATACAGTATGGGAAGTTATAATGCTGTAGCTATGAGTGCAACCAACACTCTGCTATATACTTACAAGGGAGTCGATACCGGCTAAATACCAGGAGAAACGTCCTAAGTGTGTCAGAGTGGTTGAGCAGTGGAACAGACTGCCTCGGGAGGTGGTGGATGCTCCTTTGCTGGACGTTTTCAAGCGGAGGCTGGACGACCATCTGTCATGCCCACCATGCCGCCCGACCCAGTGAACCCTGATCCCGGGGACTCTGCACCTTCAACATCCAAGATCGAGATCCCTGCACCCCTGGAAAGCCTAAGTCTTGCAGAGAATGAGCACCAACTACCAGAAGGGTTCACACCTGGAGCCGCTCCTGCAGAGCCAAGCACAAGCTCCACGCCCCCTGATTCCCCTCCACCTGTAGCTCGTTTACGAGACCGAAGGAGACGAGACTTAACAGCCTGACGTAAGGAAGCACACATGCATGGGAGAGCTGCTCTGAGTCCAGAGTATTGACTGGAGCCAGGACTCTGTAATCAGCCGGTAATTAGTGACAAAAGGAAAGGGGTTTTAAGGCAGCTCCCATCACTATCCAACTCGTGCTGGCAACTGATTGCATGATTGAAGCACTGCACCTTGGACCCTGCATCTGGTTTCCTGACTTTCTGTTTGACCCCCTCAGCTTTTGACTCCGGACTGTGTGACATCATTCTTCTGGCTCCCTGACCTTGGAACATATAACCTGACTCTGAACAACGGCTTTCGGCTTTACTGCTCTGACTGATCTCTGGTAAACCACAGACCTGATATTTTGGACTGTGCTTTTGTTGGTCTGCCTCTCTGATGCCCTGACCACTGCCTGTGTGTTTGTTTACTCCGTGCCTTGCCTAGCCCGCCCACCAGGGCAATCGTGACACCATCTTTCAGGTATGTTGCAGGGTTATCTTTAGGCTATGCTCCTGCAGAGTGTAGGGGGGTTGGACTAGATGACTTGCAAGGTCCCTTCCAACGAGAGAAGGTGTTGGGGTGACTGGGCTCACTAAGGAATTATCTGCAGTATTTACAGCTGCACAAGTAGAGCATAAAGTAAGGAGAAGAGGCACTTCTTCAAGACAGTAGATCCACTATCCCATGTCATACCCCACAAGAGAGAAAGAGAGACAGAGGCTAACTATATGCACTCCTGTGCAATGCTCCCTCTAAGCTGTGGGGTCTTGTGAGCAAAAATTCTACTTTGTGAGCTACTGGCATTAAGGTTGTCAGCAAGCAATTTGGCTGCTGCATAAAATTAGTTGGCTCTGGAGCTGTTCTTCCCGAGCTGAGACAAAAATGTGTGAGCCGCAGGCTAAGAAACAGAGTTAGCTCACACTAACTCAGCTTAGAGGGAACACCGACCCTGTAGTATTTTACTTTCAGTCAATTGACAGCTGCTTCTGTTTGTTCTCTCTCTCTCTCTCTCTCCATCCCAAACCTCAAACCTGTGGTTGTCCCACACATACATACATGTGCCCTCCCCTCAGCTGGCTGTAAGAACATAAGAACATAAGAGACGCCAATGTTGGATCAGGCCAAAGGCCCATCCAGTCCAGCACTCTGAATCACACAGTGGCCAGAAATACCAGTGCCATCAGGAGGTCCACCAGTGGGGCCAGGACATTAGAAGCCCTCCCACTGTTGACCCCCCCCCCAGCACCAAGAAGACAGAGCATCACTTGCCCCAGAGCCCCTATCTATACCTTGTGGCTAATAGCCACTGATGGACCTCAGTGCTGTGTGCCACCTTCTTCAAACTCTGATGGATCCTTGAATGAGATGGGACCATCTCCCACAAAGAACAGGACCACAGCCACTAAGGAGCAACGACATCCTTCTGTCAAGTTCCTGATCCCCAGAACAACCCAGGCAAACCCGTGGTCTCATTCACATTCCCCAGACACCAGCTCCACGGTAGACCGCTTCGTCAACTTTGCATTTCCTATGCAAGTCAAAGCTAGAAGAACACTTTTTGCAGCTGCAGAACTTTGGACTGAAGGAGGAGTCCTCTAGACCCCACTCCCATACACTCATACACTTGCTCGCACAAGTTGCTTTTCACTCCCCCCAGATTTTGGATCATAACAAATACAGGTTGGGGATTGGGGCTGGAATGGGAAAGCAGGGGAGTGTCTTGGCTTGTTGCGCATGGTCCTGGCTTGGGTTTTCAGCCCCCAGGTAGCGGCTGGAGATCTCCTGCTATTACAACTGATCTCCAGGTGACAGAGCTCGGTTCACCTGGAGAAAATGGCCATTTCGGAAGATGGACTTTATAGCATTAGACCCCATTGAAGTCCCTCCCCTTCCACCCCAACCTCCTCAGGCTCTACTTCCGAAATCTCCAGGTACTTCCCAACCCAGAGCTGGCAAGTGGCAAACCTAGTCCTGGCCTTGACACCAAAGTCTGCCCCTAGGGTTGCCAAGTCAGAAAAACTCACCAGCGGGGGAGCCTCGCCGGGCTCCGGGAGCCGTCGTTGGATGAGCGCCGCCAGCACGTCACCAGAAGTGACGCGCGACATCGACCACATTGAGGGCGTGGCCCCGAACGTCGGAGGGAAAACCATAGAGTTTTCCCTCTGACGATCCGGGCCACGCCCCCAACGTGATCAATGTGGTTGCGTCACCTCTGGTGACGCAGCCATGCTGCGCTTCGGGGGGCAGAGTTCCCCCCCGGGGCCCGATTCCGCGGCGGCGGAAATCGGGCCTCCAAAGCGGGGGTTTATCCGCCACCTGCCCCCACTTGGCAGCCCTATCTGCCCCCCCTCCTGTCACATGACTTTGGTCACATGGTTGCAGCTCAGTTCCTCCTGAGTCAGCAGTGCCGAAGACCACTGACCAAATCATGTAGCAAGAAGGGAGTCAAAGCCAAGCAAAGGAAGCATCGTGCTGGACTGTAGCAGACCCTTTTTTTTGCAATGCATTTATTTAATGCTAATATTTGTCATAAAACGAGACACAGTTACACAGGTCATGCTTAATTAACTTAGCTCAGAAGAAATGTACCGAGCTGGGACCAGCAAACATTTTGTGCCTTTAGAACAATAAAGCAACAACAAAAGATTGCCAAACCACTGGGACCCTAGAAATAATTTATTCCCAATTCTAAATCTTCTGAGGCGTATTTTACAGTCGGCGTTATTTTCTTTTAAAAATGCAAGCAAATGATGCTCACGCCTCTGATCCATTTAATTTTGATTTAGTCAATAAAGTTTATTTGTTCAACCAAAGGTCATCATAGAATGTCATACATCCCCGAAGCACAGGAGTAGTCAAGAACCAGATAGGCAAAAGCAGAAAGGATTAGGAGGGCCGGATTTGGATTAAAAATGGATGGGAGGTAAGATCAGAGTAATAATTCTATTAAATAGGCGCCATCTCGGAATGTTGTACGTACAGCAATGTGGAAATGATACAGAACGCCATCGCCTCAGATTCTTTTCTTCTTCCCAAGATTCTTCTCCGCCTTCTATCACTCAAGCCTTGCCCTAAATCCAGAAGACCAATAAAGAAGACCCCAGGTGGCATCACCTGTGGTTCTGAGGACACTGAGTGCCCAGCTGAAATTAGCTGCTCCCATCGTAGGAGGAAATCTTTTGTACTTGCCTCCCATGGAAGCCATTTTTAAACTAGTCCCGCCTCCCACAGAAGCCACTTTGTGGTGGCATCCACTACCCTTTCTCAAAATGGCAGAAGTACTGACAGGTTCGACAAGGTCGAAGACCCTGGCTATATATTATAAGGAAGCTTAACAGTACTCTGAGTCACCTTCATGACAGGTTCGACAAGGTCGAAGACCCTGGCTATATATTATAAGGAAGCTTAACACTACTCTGAGTCACCTTATTTCTTATGGATAAAAGGAAGTACTTCTTCACCCAAAGAGTGATTAACACATGGAATTCACTGCCACAGGAAGTGGTGGCGGCTACAAGCATGGACGGCTTCAAAAGGGAATTAGATAAGCATATGAAGCAGAGGTCCATCAATGGCTATTAGCCACAAGGTATAGATTGGGGCAAGTGATGCTCTGTCATCTTGGTGGTTGGGGGGGGGTCAACAGTGGGAGGGCTTCTAATGTCTTAGCCCCACTGGTGGACCTCCTGATGGCACCTGGTATTTCTGGCCACTGTGTGACACAGAGTGTTGGACTGGATGGGCCTTTGGCCTGATCCACCATTGGCGTCTCTTATGTTCTTATGTCCACAGGATCCATTCTGGGGAAGTTCACATCCCGTTTGGTGCAATGGTTAGGAGCACGGACTGTAATCTGGGAGAACTGGGTTTGGTTCCCCACTCCTCCACATGCAGGTGCTGGTGTGACCTTGGCTCAGTCACAGTTCCATCAGAGCTGCTCTCTCACGAGCAGTCCTCAAAAGAGCTCTCTCAGCCCCACCTACTTCACAGGCAATGCTCCCTCTAAGCTGTGGAGTCTTGTGAGCAAGAATTCCACTTTGTGAACTACTGGCATTAAAGCTGTGAGTGAGCTATCTGGCTACTGCATAAATTAGTTTGCTCTGGAGCCATCCTTCCTGAGCGAAGACAAAAATGGGTGAGCCGGAGGCTAAACATCTGAGAGCTAGCTCACACTAACTCAGCTTAGAGGGAACACTGCTCACAGGGTGTCTGTTGTAGAAAGGGGAAGGAGTTTGTAAGCTGCTCTGAGACTCTGGGT